GCATACAAAATTAATATTTGTTACATTAATGTGACTAATAAGACTGTAATGGCGATGGAGCACCTGTTCCACCACCACTGTCAGGTCATGTAACCAGTTGCGCGAGTTGTCTCAGTCTGTGCGGTTGAAAACGCGGTAGGTTACTTTTATGATTTGTAAATATTAGTAAAATTTATTTCTACCAAGACGGTTTTGTGTAAAAGGGTTTTGTTTTTGTGGACGACAGAGCCGTGTTTGTTTTGACAAAGCCGAAGCAGCTTGTGGTAATAAATTTATACTGTATTTTTTGTTACTTTCTTTTTTTTTTTTGTTTAAATTTATGATGGATTAATTTAAATATTTAATTTATTTAAAGGGATATTGAGTCATTGTACAAAAGCAGTGTGAAATATAAAAGAATGTAACTCATAACTATTTTAAGTATAAAATTTTACTTATTTATTTTATTAACTCTGATACAGGCCTTGAAAAAAGGATTGTATAATTTTTAAGGAAGTATTTTTGAGTTTTTTTTGTGACCATTCTGTTGATATTACATTTTAATAATCAGATAGGAAGAGTATATACATAAATGTTTTAAAATATCATTGCAGAAGAGGTTTTAAAAGCTTAACTAGTTTTATTAATCATAGGCACGCAATAGTCCCTGACCTACATCATCGCTTTACCTTTGACACGAACGTAATCGAATTACAAAACCAAGAAGCGCCGATTTGAAAATAAGACATCATATAATGTTCCCACCATCCATATAATTGTATAAAAAAATAGATTATCTTAATTTAAGGCAAAAACAAACATTTTTGCTCTTTAGTTTTTGTAATATTATATAGCCTAAAAATTTTATTAAATAATTTCAAATGGGGTAAAAATAGTTCAACATATATTCATTCATAATTTATATATTTTTGTAGTACATAGTTATTTTATTTTTATAACTATAATATGCCAATTTTCATTACATAAGTCAAAAATAACATTTTTTAAATAATAATAATGGATTTGTTTGACTTTACAATGAATTTGAATATATACTCGTATATTTTAAACACTGTGTTCCTTATATATTATTATATTATATGTACTTAATAATGTAAAGAATTTTATGATTATTTTTGTGATTGTGGTTTATTCTCGACTAATTATTATGCGGTATTTGTTAAAATTAGATAAAAAAGTTAAACGTACATCTTTTCGACATCTACATAGCTGACCTAGGGCAGGCTTTATTCGAAGTTATTAATAGATATCTATAACTGCTATGAATTTTGCATTTCGGATAATGTCAATTTTTAATTACAAACTACGCTAATTTTGTCAGAAGTATGAAGGTGAAAGTTTTGGCTAATGACGTCTAATGATTATGAATAAACATTAAGAGGTGCATAAAATTTGATGATTTCGTCATATATGTATTACTTATAAATTAATTAATTGGTTTGTATTGTTCAATCGCTATGGGGTTTTATAATCATGATTAATGACCCTATGCCGCTTAGACATCTTTGCGGTGATTAATTTTATTGTTTTCATTCGGTTATGTTACTACATGTTGCTAATGTGAACATGTAAAGCAAGGATGGATATTGGTTACCCAATCGTGTCTGACTAATGTTATGAGTGAAATTTGGGATCAAGATCATGTGCTTGGTTCGGGCACAGTTGGAATAGAAAATTATCAATGTAAATATAAACTTGGATGAATGGGTTTATTAATATAAAATACTCGTATGAAGACGGAACAATAAACTAGTATCAAAATGAAATGATACCATTCACATTCACACCAATCACCTTGACTTAAAGTTCATTGAAATAACAGCCTCTAAAAACCTTTTAATGTTTTAATACAATTTACTTAATGAAACGAACAATCTTTTGGGTCTATAGTTTTTTGTGGAGATCGATTTACTGGAATAAATGTATAAATCTACTAGATTTATTACTAATTCATTAAAAAAATTATACACTTACATTGTTAAATTATAATCAATTATTTCAATTACCTTTACTTAATTGAACTTTTAAACTTCACTTAATCTGTTTGAAACCAAAATTGAAAAAGTTTATTTATTACCTAATGGTTAATGAAAATCGTAAAGTAATTGGCGGTCAGCGAAATTCAAAGCAAATAGAAATTTTAAGGGTAAAACTTTTTGTATTTATTTAAGAATCCTAATTTACGGATGGTAATCAACCTGAGCGTAAATTAGAATGATTTCAATAACAAAGACCTTTTCTGTTTGAGGAAAGAAAATTTTACTTTATAATGTGATTTAATTGAAAGTCTTTAAATATCAAATTGATTCTAATTGGATATTAATATTTAAAGCTTCATTTCAATATTTTAATTAGAAAAAATACTATAATTATTATGAGCGAAGTCGTATAGTCCTTAAAAGATTAAAGAAGTTTATAATAAATTAATTATATAATTATAACTTACTCGAACTTATTAAATTAAAATTTTATGCCAAGAAAACAGACGAAGATTCGGTGAAGAACACAAATAAAAACATCTTGTCTGCCCGTGATTACGGTTGCTGTAAAGTAACCAAAACGTCGGGAGTATGTAGTTTATAATAAAAAATCACGTAGTAAATCCAAAATATTAATTTCATTTAAATTAGTACTCGCGAAAATCTTGGATCTCATTACAAATAAAAACAAACAATTTTTTCATTCATAAAAATAAATATTTTTGGGGAATTTATATCGTTTTGATATTCGTTTTAATGCTTTATATGTAAAATTTTAATAAACATCGTATCTTAGGTCAGTTTAACAAATTTTTTAAACTCTTTATTTTCTGTATTATGTTATAACTGAATGATTATGTATTTATTATTATTTAGAATTTAATGTTTTGCTTAGTTGGAATATATGTCAGAACTAAGAAATGTCAAATTGAATAACAATTATTAATTCGAACAAAAACTTAAGAATCCCAAGCATTATGGTATTCTTCATGTTGTTTATTTTATTTTATCAACATCCAATTGTAACGTTTGTCAAACTTTAAGTATATGTCAATTAATATTTCACAAAAACTTTTCACACTTAACAAATATAAAGTTGTATACAAAATAGTTACAAAACTATGTGAGTGGATTGTTAAAAAATGTGTGACAATCTTCAATGGCCATTTAGCTAACGAGTGTCAAGACCTCGCAATAAGATGTTAAGGCTTGCAAAATTATTATCTTTCAGAGTTACCTTTAGATTAATTGTGTATAAATTTTGAGACTTTCTTTACTTTTGAATATTAGGAAAAAAAAACAGCTATGATTTTTAATACGAGTATTATGTATCCTTCATTTTTAAATTAATAATAATTTGACTTATGTTAAAATATAGTGATAACATGTTGTTACGTATATGGGTTTATTAGTGTTATCGATACATTAGCATATTTAGAATCATAGTAACTGATATATTGTACAAGCTAAAATATTTTTGGTAAAAACTAATGTTATATTTAATAAATATGAGATAAAAAAGAAATTAAATCTAAAATGTAATACAAACTAATATTATTATACCATGGAATTAAAATTTTTGTCTCACAGTACATTCCACTGTCATATATAGTTATATTAATATTAATATTATTTGGGTATTTAGCAATTTTAATTATAAACATGTTTAAAAAATTAAGACTATTTAGATTTTAAACAATTTGTATAGTTGGATAAAATGATAAGCAAACACTTTGCCTTGCTTCCATTCAACACACATGCTAAGGCTGTATACGACCGAGTGAACGCACACTGCATATACACATGTACATACATATATTTATATTCGTGAATATGATTGTATTTGTTTTACATTGAAGTTTCAACATTAAATTATAAGCTATATGACTAGAAACTAGCAATGTATTGTAAAATTGTCGTAAATTCATTATGTTAATATAAGCGAACGTCCGCGACGCCTTTCACTTTCAATGAGTATTTACGTCACAGTTAAGTAGATGTTTTTTCTTATTTATAAAACACAATCACTTCTACTATCGTTGTTAATAAATTAAGTTAGTTAACAGTAAAATTGTATTAAAATAGACGTATTATTATTTTAATTTATAATTATTAATATTGGTGAAAGTAATTCAAAACTATGTGTTTAGAAAACGGCTTAGTTAAACGTAGCATTGCTTTATTATAGTTCGGTATAATTTAAAGTGCTGGCTGGCATCCAAATGAATTTATTGTCATTTAACAGGTCGTTACATAAACCTCCCTGTTATTTATTTGGGGTAAAATAGGTTAGATGATAACGGTTGCGATTTTAATTTATATTTCTTTGTAGGTAAAAATAAAATAAAATTTATTTATTTTGTAACATTAAAGCAATTTTGAGCTAGTATTTAAATTAAAACGTAAATTAGGAAATAAAGACTGAAAAATTCACCAACAACAGTAGGAATCAAATCTGCAACCTCCGGAATATAGTAAAAAAAGTAACTGGGACGCAATATGCCGGAGATTGCAAGTTTGAATATAAAGCAATTTTAGTGCAGTTATAACGTCATTGCAATTGAGGGAATTTTTCTGTAGATAGGGAAATTGAATAGAAATAAATAATTAAGACACATTAATTTTTAATAATAAGAAAAGGCAAGTTAACAAAACAAAAGTCTATTGTGAAGGCAAACAAATAAAAATTGTGTAATTATAAGCACCGATGGCCAATAGGGACGTGGGAAATATTATTGCAATACTATTTTACTACAATAGCTGTATAGAAGTTGGGGTGCAGTGTACAGTTTAATACAGTTATTTAAAACGACCCTTCCATTAAACTTCTCATAATAGTTGTTAATATATTTCTATTTCAATGATTATTGCTACATAATATTTTCTATTCCCTTAAGTTTCCTTAACATTTTTAACTTTCTTATAAAATTAACGATTACTGCTTAAAAAATTTACAATAATTTTATGTTTTGTCTTAATAGACATAAAAAATATTGACTAAAATTTTTTTTTTTACAGGCCATGAAGCTGTTAACATGCTATCTAACAGTAGCATTATTGGCACTCGTCAATGCTGCAGTCGATGTTGAGAAAACGGTAAAACAAGTTCAAAGTATACTTCAAGCGAATGAATTATTACCAAGACTCACTCGCGACGAAATACTACAGCTCCTTAATGATATTCGTGAAGAAGATGCGAAAACTGAATCGCAAACAAAACAATCTAACGTAGAAAAAAGTAATCTGCAACAGACAATTAAAACTGCAATCCACAGTTCAAATGAAGACAATGAAATTAGTAGTACAGTGAAAACAACAAGTACAGATCAAATTGATCCAAAGCAAAAATCATTCAATAGTACTACAAGTAGAATTTCTACTAGTACTGTTGAATCAACAACTAAAACAAATACTCCTACTCTTACTGTTGTTTTACCGTATACCCCTCGGGATGGGTCTTCCTTGCAAGAACTGTACACAAGACCTCCTAGATTGCAAATTGTGGACGAAACAACCACTCCGAAGCTAAAACCGCTGAAAAGAACAAAATATCCTAACAATAAATCCAAAGTAACAAATAAACAAAAACTAGACATACCTGCAGAATTACAAGCATTTTTAGATGCACATGGTCTAAAGGATAAACCAGGAAAAGACAACTTTTTATTACCTCTGGATGGATTTAAGCCATTACCACCAGCAAAAGTGGTTGATGGAACAGTTCAACTGCCAGAAAATTTATTACTTACTTATGATCTTATTTCACAGTCAGATAAAGGTACAACTTCAAAAAAAAATCAGGAATTTTCACAAAGTAATTTCTTGTATGAACCTTTGCGTCCTGAAATACCATTTGAATTAGATACTGCGGCATCAAATTCAGAACAAATTAGTCTACCTCTTGATTTACCCAAACCAAGAAAAACAAAAGCAGTATCTGAAATTCAAAAACCTAACTATCAACCGATCGATTATGATTCAGTCAAAGTTATACCACTCAATAAGGGTCCTAATCCTGAAGAAGACGACGTTATTTTAGATTCTGAACAAAATAAACGGCAAACTAATGATACTGCAAGTCAAGAAAACATAACAACTACCGAGGTTTCTATGCCAGAAAATGATGCAAAAGATGCTTTACCAACTGCATCTGATGTAGTATCTGATTCTGATACTGGAGCATCAATTACAGATTTAGAAGATTCTTTTGGAGGGGCTGTTCCTTCAAAACCAGGCGATGCTGATCTTCCTCCACCTAGAAAAAATGGATTTTATTGGATGTTGGATTGGAATAGTTTCTTAGAAGTTGGTGATGGGGACACAAAAGTTAATATTCGGTTTGAGCCAAAATTAGGTGACCCACAAATGTTTTTGCCAGTTAATGTTCCATAATGTTTTTAAAAAACCAGAGTAGCATTCTAGTCGTAGGGGTTTAACTTTTAGAAAAAAAATATTATAAATATAATGTATTTAAATTAAAAAATTGTAATATTTTATTTTGCAATATTATAACAATTTACTGTAATATTATTCCTAGATAATAATTTTTAATTTATAATCACGTAAAATTACAGTTTACTTAGAAATGCATCAAAGAATGCAATCATTTAAGTCGTGATTAGTAGACCAAATCCAAGAATGAAAGCAAGTGGATGAAATCATCGCGTGTAATGTTTCATTGACATTATAAAATTGCCATTATAACATCTTTGTATATATATATTTTAATTTTAGAAGACAAATTAGATTAGATATAATTTTACTTAAGTGTAATTATGTACGATACATCTTTTACAAAAAAATATATATTCTCTTAAAAAACATAATATTTACCTAAATCAATCCGTATCCACTAACAAATTTTAATCCTTAAAGGCTTTAAACGTAATGTCAAATTAAATTTCAAACCTCAACGTTATAATTCCAGCTTAGTTCTCAAAGTTGTTGGTATTTCAAAGCAACATGTTGTAATATACATAACTTACTGCTATTCGAAGCTATCTGCATCTGTTTTAGAACCATTAAACTTGTAACTTGAAGCTCAGTTTTACACAGAAGTAAACAGCTGCTTGGACAGGAAACAAATTAATTCAATATGATTACTTGAGGAACCATAAATTACCATAACATCATAATAAATTGAATTACCACGTGAGAATTTTGAAGATTGATATGTTTGTATGTAACTGTTTCAAGTTATAATTTTTATTTTCAATTTAATATTTATTATTTTTGGTTTTAAACAATATTGAAAATCAGGGCTGAAAGCTCAGATGATAATATTATTCAAATATATGTGTTTACACTCATATATCATTTGTTTTACAAAAACTCAATTTTTATGGAAATGCAGTGGACACGAACTCTGAAAATTATAGAAATAATGAAATGTTTTAAATGAAAAACTATCAAACTCAGAATTTTTTTACCAAATTGAAAAGACATTTAATGTTACGCATTTTTCAGGCAAGTAATTTTTTATTAAATATGCTAATGGTTAGGAATTTTTCATATACAACACTGACAACATGATTGGATTCCTAAGTTTATGGCATCGCCACCCTTCTGAGTCGAAAGGCTTACAACATGAAAACCATAACATTTTGATTTTCTTAACATAATATTATGGAGATAATTGATGAACATGGGGGTTCTGTAGAAATGATAATGAATCATATTATTTATAAAGTATACAAGGAGCAAGTCTTTAGAATAATTTGACGAGGGTTCCAATTTTGAAGTTTTACATTCGCATATTATATTTGAATAAAGTATGCATACAAATGTATTCACGCATTAATGTTTCGATACAGATAGGTCTATCCTCCTCTCCTAGCTCTATGTCTAGGTAATTTTCTTTGAAATCAAGATTTACCGATTCTGGGATAAACTGGTAAAATAATCAAATATACTTCTCTCAGAGACGTTCACTTAAGGCTTAAAGATGAGCTATTTCAATCAAAAATAATCTACGATTTAATTAAATGACAAATTCTCAAAATAACAAGTAGAACTAGATCTGCTAATCGGCTTTTTGAATCAAATAAATTTGAATCTACACTAAACACAAAATCTCATGATATTTGATCTAATAAAAAAAACATTATTGAACATTATTGAATACTTCCTTTAAGCCTCAAAATATATATTGTTGCGACATAAACTTTCACATAAAACCGTTGAATGTATTTTAAATAATATTTTCAGTTGTGTAGTTCTTACACAAAATATTGAAATCATAACTAAATCTTTAACTCTTTGTAGACATAAGTCATAATATTAGTATTTTGTATTAAGACGAGTGTGACAGATGATACATAATATCAGTGATGGTTAGTCAAGATATCTATTATTGCAAACAGTTTATTCATTTCTTTTTGAAGTCAATTTGGTAGCCCACGTAGATGACGTGAAGGTAATAATTAATAGAACCGCTCTACAGTTAAATGACATTTATTCATATTGTTATATTAGAGGAAAATTTGCGTCAGATTTATCAAAGTTGGCGAGAGACGTTTTTTGTAGCTGTTATATATTAAAATAGCAGTTATTGCTTTAAAATGATGATTTATTTTTAGCTGCACTCTCTCAATCAATGTGTGCCTTTAACTGTAAACAACGCATATGCAAATATGTATAATGAATTGTTTGTTTTAGTGAAAAGTCGAGTAACTAAATTGGTTTTTAACAATGCTATACATAGGTATATGCTTTGAAAAAAAAATTAATAACAATCGTTCAAACATAATGAACTAATATATATGTATGCGAGTGGTTCTCTTTTTTATTTAATGCAAGTGATGGATGGATTCATTAATTTCGTAAGCCTCGTCTCCAGCTACGTTGTTACCTTAGAGAATAGATTATTAGACTAAAGATGAAACGTTAAGTCATAATGAAATAGGAATAAGGAAGAAGAATTTTGATTTTATATGATTTAAAGCTCATTCAAAATATTTAAACTATGTATTTTAGAACCTTAAAGTTCATCATGTGATTTATTTATCCCATGTAAGAAGCTTATTCATAATCTCACATTAAATATAGATTCTCGCTTAAAATACTTTCAAAGATACTCGTCTATTTATTATAAAAACTTTGTACGTAACATTTTTTACATCGAGTATACACACGTTTACACTAGAAGAAGCTTACATATATTCACACACATACACAGAAATCATATAGCTATGCGTGCTCTATTTAAGAATAAGTATTAATTTTTGGACACAATACAAGTACAATCTCTGGGATTTAACTTGCCACCACTTGTCAAATCGTTAAACAAAATTATAAATTATTTAGTAAACAACAAATATGAAAATCTGTGTAAATTCATCAGCTTCTTAAAGTTTAAATTTTAATCTAAGCTAATAATATTGTGTATATAGATGTACGCAATATAGTACATCATCATCATTTCACCCGAAAGACGTCCACTGCAGAACATAGGCCTCCCGCAAGGATAGTACACAACATAGTACATATTTATAGATGTGGTACATCAACTTGTTTTTATTTAATATTTATATTATATTGTTATTATGGCCTGATCCTACTTCTGTAGTCAGTTTTATATAACAATTTTCTAGATTTTCAATAGATGCTAAAGATAAATATAAAAATAATGATTTTATTATAACATAACAAAAGTAACTATTGCTAAATGGCATTTAGCTGATTACTCAAGGTTTCATCATGACCACTGCAATTGGTAAGAACATTGAAACTGAAGATAATCCTCTTTATCTTTGATAAATTCATTAATAAAGCAATATAACATAACTACAAATATTATTACTTATCACCTTTTAATATATACAAGTATATCCCTATTTCCTTTGGTCACGCCATCACGCGTGAACGACTACATCGATTTCACAATTCTTTATATCGTTATGATTGTTTCAGTCAGGAAATGTTCTTAAGAAAGTAAAAGTAATAAAATTGCAAATAATTAGAAATTTCAAGAAAAATAACTATTATCCTTATTAAAAACTTTTTTAATATGCTTTTGGCTAAGCATATATTTATAATTGTGAGTTGTTTCACTGTTGTACATATGTCAGTTGTTCGTATAAATCGCACACCTTTAATACCTTTGACAAGATCTCATAAATCTAAAGTTACGTCGTATAGTAAATATATTTTTTGTTTTAATTAGAGTTAAATTAGTTGTAAATAAGGACTTTATTATTCAAATCCACGACCCATGAATTTAAAACCGAACTATATCCTTGCTCAGTTCTGGTCTTTGGCTTGAAAGGACAACGTCGATTGGGTCGTCTAGTAATATTTTAAGTGCGAAAATTTCTGACGATGTTTGGATGTATTGACTTTTATGAAATTTTCAGTACTTTATTTATTATAGTTCTCGCAAGGTCAAGATATATCAGTTACATTATTTCTGAAGTCATGCGGCACAAGCCATAGATGACGATGCCGGATTTTTAACATATAATTCGCTTCAAATTTATACCTTATACATTTCCTAATAAGCCTAATTCCGTAGTTTACATTCAAACACAAGTTAATTGTAAATAAAACCTTAACGCAGATTTTAAATTTTTACAAATTTTGCAATTAGTTTCATATGTTTAAAAAAATTTAAGGTATACATATATATATCATATACATAATCAATAAAATACATATGATATTATAAAAACTTATTATCATACTATATTCAAGTTTCATGTTACTTTGATCTTCAATATAAGCACTTATTTAAAAAACGTAATTTTAGATTGTGGCACACAAAAAGTTAAAACGATTGGGTTATAAAAGAAAATTAATATACGGTGATTTCTGTGGCCTTTGTTTCAATTGGAAGTATACAGTGTTTTTATTTTCTTCTTACTTATTATTTCAATTGTTTCTTTATAATTTTTTACAACAACTTTTATCGATTAAACTGATAATTCAATAACATTTTTGTTGTTTTTACTACAAATCTGTTTAGTATGTAGTCTGAAATATAATTCAATAATATGTTTCAAATGTATTTATTTTTAATTTAATATTTTAAGGTATGTTTTTTTGATACGAAAGAAAACTTAGTTTTTTAAAAATGTAGAAGTAAAGTTATTATTGTTATAACTGAACTAGTTTTTATGTTTAGGCAGTGATAAAATTTATGCACAGCAGTAAGAATTTTAAAGAAGAGAAAAAGATTAACACCAAATTACCACATTAAGATAGAATATTACCACTTCACGTCACTTCAACCTCTTTTGTATATTAACAAGTTTGAGTAAGGATATTACTTTGTGCACTAATGTAACAATTAAAAACTACACCAGTTAGATGTATAAAATTAAAACATTGTTTAATTTCTAGTTGTCTCTAATCCCTTTGATGATGAATTAGGGAACCGGTTCCCGTGGGTGTAA